GGGAATATGTAGATGACCTTGAGAGAGGTGTGAGACTTTGAGAGTATACCACACACCTTGAGAATTTATATAGTGTTGCACAGAAGGTATTTACCCTGAGAGCGAGAGCTTTGCATGTTTAGGAGCAGTTGGAGGGAATATGTAGATGACCTTGAGGTGTGAGACTTTAGAGTACACCACACACCTTGGGAGTTTAGTGTTGCACAGAGGGTATTCACCCTGAGGGCGAGAGCTTTGCATGTTTAGGATCAGCTGGAGGGAATATGTAGATGACCTTGAGGTGTGAGACTTTGAGAGTACACCACACACCTTGGGAGTTTAGTGTTGCACAGAGGGTATTCACCCTGAGGGCGAGAGCTTTGCATGTTTAGGATCAGCTGGAGGGAATATGTAGATGACCTTGAGAGAGGTGTGAGACTTTGAGAGTATACCACACACCTTGAGAGTTTAGTGTTGCACAGTATATTTACCCTGAGAGATTTGCATGTTTAGGAGCAGTTGGAGGGAACATGTAGATGACCTTGAGAGAAAAGTGTGAGACTTTGAAAGTGTACCACACACCTTGAGAGTTTAGTGTTGCAGAGAGGGCATTTACCTTGAGAGCTTTGCCTGTTTAAGAGCAGTTGTGTGAAGTGAATATACATGTAGACGACCTTGAGAGGTCTGAATCCTGTTGCATGTCGCCCGGCAGGACTTGGGCTTTCTGTGCTCTCTAGTAAATATAGCGACCCCGCTTTCTGTTTCACACGTTTTTGTACAGCTGCCTCCATGGCTCTCACCGGGCAGACGGGACGGTTGGTCGCCGATCCTACGATCGGTGTGGAAGATATGACGGTTGTGTTCGAGGCCTGGTTGAAATCCCGAGGCACACGGGACTTCTTCAAGGAATTCAACATGCCTCGTGGACTCACCTTCAAAAAGGCCCCGATAGGCACCTGGCTTGCCGGGGTAGCCGACCTGTGCAAAGAGATCATGACCCTCGCCCCGAACGGCATGCTCGCTCCGAAGAAGGTGAGAACAGCCTTGGGCAAAATGAATGACAACGATAAAGTGAATATGGTCATTGACGAGGGCATCAGGATCGGGTGTGCAATGCTCAGGTGCCTCAAGATGGAAGCCAAGAGCAAACAGCGGTGCTTCGTTTTGATGACAGGGGCTGAGCAGACTTCAGTGCAGGGTGTCCTCGACATCATGAATTGCAGTCCCTCCCCAGATGACGGATCTCAGGAGTCTGTCAGCGATCCTACCCGTGCTCTCAGTGAGCCTCCTCGTGAGATGCTTGCTTTGACAGATGCTCCCGGTGATGCAAAGCCCTTGGAAGACGACACCCTGTCCCTCAGCCCGAGGCCCAGCTTCCGTCGCTCGAAGCAGCTCGACCCCATGGCAGTCTTTGACAGAGTTCTGAGCAGAGTAAGCTCAGAAGAGGCAGAGCCGGAGGATCTTCCTGAAGCTAGTAGCAGCAGTCATGCTGGACCTCATGCAAGCACTGCCACCCCCATGGACATGCAGTTCGCCTATTTGCTGAGCCAAGCCGAATGTGTGGAGCCCTTGGACAACAAAGCCCAGTTGATCATTTTCCGCAAAAACTCCACCCAGAAGAAGGGAAAAGGGAAAGGCCAGCAGAAAGATCAGGCGAAAAAGACGACCGACAATGTGAAGATCCCTAAGTCGAAGGCAAGCAAGGTGAAGGCCGACGAGTCCCTGAAGAGCGAGGCCCCAGAGATCTCCGAGGAGAAGGACAAGATCCCTGTAACCAGGTGCTTCAAGAAGAGCCCAGCGATCCCCAAGACCGACGAGAGCCCAAAGTCTGAGCAGTCGACCCCGAAAGCCAAGGCGAGCCCGAAGTCAACCAAGGCGAGCCCGAAATCGACTCCGAAATCCAAGGCGGCCCCCAAGGCCAGTGCTGAGAAGAACAAGAAGAAGACCGAGTCCGCCAACAGCAAGAGGACGAAGACCGAGCCTGAGGTGAAGAAGCCCGCCGAGGATGAGCATGATGGTGCAGGCAAGAAGAAGATGAAGATGGACAGAACAGCTATCCGGAAACGACTGGTCTCCAAAGCCTACCACAACGAGAGAGATCAGAAGATGAAGGCGGGTGTTGACAAGGAGAGGGCCGCCGAAATGGGTCGTGCAGCTGCCAAACGTGCAGGTGATCAGTTTGACGAGGAGAATCCCAAGGAGAAGAAGGCCAAGTTGAACCCCGAGGAAGAGGAACGAGATCATGAGTCTGAGTGTGCAGATGCTGCTAACCCCGAGGGTCCTGACCAGGAGGCTGATTAGATTTCTGTGGGTGTGTGTGCACACAATCCGATAAGTGTTGGTTGATAGGTGTGAGTATATATAGTATACAGTATAACTATATAGTCTGTTTGTGCTGATTGCTTTGATAGGAAATTTTGCCGGTAGCCTGTATGCGATTGTGCACGAAGCCTGTGGAGTCTGCAGCTGCATAGTTCTGTACGGGTTTCTGATCTTGAAAGCAAAACCGTTCCAAGTAAAAGCATTAGAAACAGTTGTGTGTCGCTTTATTTCGTGAGCAGACTGTGTAGCTTGCACAGTCAGATTTTGAGCCCATGGAATGGTCACTTGTGTGTGGCTTATAGAAGCGAGAGTGCTTGTCTCTCCACGGAATCAGATGGGAGATGTATGTGAGTCTTTGCTATAGAAGCGAGAGCTTTCGTCTCTCCATGGAATCAGATGTGACATGCAGGAGTGGCGCTTTTTGCCATGCATCTGCGAAGGACCAACAGGTGCTGCTAGGTGGCGACCAGAAAACCGGAAAATAAGCACAGCTTTGTGATCAGTAGCTGTTGAGAGCTGTGCGATGTTGTGTTTTTATGCCACATCTACCTCGGTTATTCGCTAACATGTGTGTTTGTGCAGTGTGAACCTTGTGAGTGGACCATGAGAGCATTTACCCTGAGAGCATTTTGTGTCGAGAGTCGCAAAACATCGGTATAGGTTGAGAGATTCAGCGAATACGAAAATCAAAGCACCCCTGGTCGCTGTGCCCAGATCTCGGCATCTTCGGCCGTGGTGCGACACTCGAGGCCGGATTAAATGAGGGTCTTTAGGGTTTAGGGTTTTGCTTTGGGTTTGGGTTAGGGGTTTAGGGATACACTATCGGGGATCGGGGATGTTGCTTTAATAGGGGGTTGCTTTGGGTTTGGGTTAGGGGTTTAGGGAGACACTATCGGGGATGGGGGATGCTGCTTTAATAGGGGTTGCTTTTGGGTTTGGGGTTTAGGGAGACACTATATCGGGGATCGGGGATGTTGCTTTAATAGGGGTTGCTTTGGGTTTGGGTTAGGGGTTTAGGGAGACACTATCGGGGATCGGGGATGTTGCTTTAATAGGGGGTTGCTTGGGGTTTGGGTTTGGGGTTTAGGGAGACAGTATCGGGGATCGGGGATGGTGCTTTAATAGGGGGTTGCTTTGGGTTTGGGTTAGGGGTTTAGGGAGACACTATCGGGGATCGGGGATATATTAGCTTTAATGGGGGGTTGCAATCCCGAACATCGCAATATATGTTTCTAGACATCTCACTATCATCATGGCCACCCGGGCTTTATAACCCGAAATCTTAGAATCTCCAAAGTCAGCCCAAAACCCAAACATCATCGCCACCCGTGCTTGAACCAAAATCTTAAATAGAATCTCCCAAGTCGGCCCAAAACCCAAACCCCTAAACTCCCTATTAAAGCCACATCCCCGATCCCCGATAGTGTCTCCCTAAACCCCGAACCCAAACCCTAAACCTCGCGGGATATATCAGGCTCTCACAGGGTTCATGCTTGAAGCTTCGCAGCAGGAGGCCCAAAGTTCTGAGAGAGTGTGTTTTCATGTGGTTGGCATGTATGTACCTCTAAATTGAATATATGTATATATATATATATATATATTCATATAGTATCATGCCTACATATATAGCTACGTGGACACAGTTATATATTCAGTCTAGATCGGCCAGGATATACATATACCTTACAGGAGGAATTCCCTGTGTGCTAGTCTATGTGATTGTATTAGGTCCTCATATTCCGATTATATACCAAATTATTGCAGGCCGGGGAAATCCTAGCATTGTGTTTGTAAAGACTCTCATAGACTTCCTGTGGCTTCCTGCACATATAGGTGTACTTGCACTCTCTGGGTATTATAAGCCTGGACACTTTAGGACACGGGTCCATTTTCGGCTAGGACACGGGTCCATTTCATACACACACACACAGACACACAGACACACACACACACATAGCCCGCACTACCTAAACCCGAACCCTTATAAGTCGTTTCTGCCATAGGCATGTCGCGAGTGGTTCTGAAACAGGTGGACAAGACCAGCACAGTCGCCATTCTGGGGCAGCAGCTGAGGGGTCGAGGCTGGATTTTCCAGCACATACAGCTGGTGAGGAGTGGTCGTTTGCAAGATGCGAGGTGGTGCACCGCTTTTGTGACTGTCTGGGACGACGAGTATGCTGCATTTATGGCATGGGCCTGGTGTGCCGAAGGCTGCTGCTGCTGTCCTGGCTCCGACACCTCCGAAGTGTCCTCCACCTGCTCATCTGCTTCGTGCTGTGCCGAAGGTGCAAGCTGCTCCAATGATGGAATCCGCAGAGGTTGCAGATGATAATTTGGAAGCAGCTGCATGGGATACTTTGGAAGCAGCTGCAGATGCTGCACGGGATACTTTGGAAGCAGCTGCAGATGCTGGAAACCATACTTTGGAAGCAGCTGCAGATGCTCCAGAGGATACTTTGCAAGCAGCTGCACAGGATGGCTATGATGAGGATGATGATCTGGGGGATGAGGAGCTGCAGAGGTTTTTTAATGAGCATGCAGCGACGAGTCCTGCTGAGGGGCCTCCTGCTGAAAGCCCCGAGAGCTCGGGGGGGTCGAGCACATCGCGATCGAGATCACGATCACGGCGGCGAAGATCGCGATCGCGGCGGCGGAGGAGCAGGAGGAGCAGGAGGAGCAGCAGAGGGCGGAGGAGGAGGAGGAGGGATCGGTCCCGACACCGCCGATCGCGATAAACAAGGGTTTGTGCTCTCTTGCTTTCAACACTTAAACCCACACCTGTATAAACCCTTATAAAGAAACCCCTCATATAGCCTCAACCCACACCTGCAAACCCTATATAATTAATTATACACCTTAGAAGACCCTAAAACCCTAAACCCGATATCCTCTATGACTCTCTTGATCCCCCTCAAAGTCAATGACTCTCTTGGTCCCCCTCAAAGGCAATGTGTTGAAATAGCAGCTTGTATGTATGCACACATATATATATATATGTCTACATATACACAAGCAAAGAACTTTCCCCTACAACTAGATTGCAAAACACATGCACACAATTATAACCTTTATGGGTTGAAGCTCAACACCTCCAAAAGCGCCAAAAACACCCCAAAGCCTCAGGATGTGAAGCTGCAGTCCGGGTTTCAGGGTCTTACAATGATAGAGAGGTAGAGGGGGTTCCAGGGTTCAAGGTTTGGAGTGTTGTCGGGTTCACGGGCTTGTGTTTGTTACCAGGGTTGTGGCTGTGCTTGAGACTGATTTTGCTTCATTTATTTATAGGGTTGGTCGGCTGATATAGAAGGTCTTAGGGTTTAGGGATTATAGGGTTTATAGGGTTATATAGGGTTTAAGGGTTTAGGATTTTTAGGGTTTGGGTTCAAGGTTTGGGTTTAAGCTTCGGAGCCGCTTTCGGTGAAACTCATTGCTTCGGATTTGGGCATATCGACCCGAAAACCTTTAATCCCCAGAACCCTATAAAGCCCTAAACCAATTCCCCACGATCTCGAATCTCGAACCAAAAACTTCTATGAACCCAGCCTCCGACGACTTTGGCTGAATTTTACAAAGCCACACAATCCCTAAACCTAGATGCCGAAACCCTAGAACCTTATATAAACCCGACACACAGAAAGGCCTATATGTTTACAAATACCCCAAACCTGTCGAAACCCTAGAACCTTATATATATATATAAATATATATAAAAAAAATATATATATATAATCCCGAAACACAGAAAGCCCTACCTTTATTGTCTGAAGCTTGCAAAGCCAAAACCCCAAACCTGCCGAACCCAGAACCTTATATATGAACTTGCAAGACACCGAAAGCCCTGTGTTTCTTTCTTGGCTGATACTTATACACAGCCAAAACTCCCAAACCTGTCCAAACCCTAGAACCTGATAACACCAAAACACAAAAAACCGTTGTCTTAGAAAGCCGAAACCCTCAGACGCGTCGAAACCCTGGAGCCTCAAACCTGAAACACAGAAAGCCTCTCTTGCGGTTTTCTAGTTCTAAAGCAGCCGTCCCCGTGTGCAGGTTCTTCGCCTCTCTCGCCAGCGACACAGGCAGCGACTCTGAGAGTGACTTTGAGGGAGACACAAACTTATAGGGTGACTTTGAGCGAAACACATACATACCATTGGAGGGAAGCAAAGAATAAGGATAAATCCTTGTGGTTCTGGTTCCCGGCTCAGCTTGTTCTTTCGTGTCATTGTAACAGCAGATACGGAATATCATGTCAATGAACTCAAATGACACAGCAGAACAAGTCGAACTTTAATCGAAGTTTCGTCGAAATTTCGACACCCACCCCTCGAAGTTTGGTCGAAGTTTCGTCGAAGTTTCGACCCCACCAGGTCGAAGTTTCGACACCCTACAGGTCGAAATTTCGACAGCCCAAGTCGAAGTTTCGAGTCGAAACTTCGACACCAAAATAACAAAAGTGCAACCTTTACAGTGAATCGTGACGACACGATGTATAAACTTCGACCTCGGCTGTCGAAATTTCGACCGGATGGGTGTCGAAACTTCGACCTGGTGGGGTCGAAACTTCGACGAAACTTCGACCAAACTTCGAGGGGTGGGGTCGAAATTTCGACGAAACTTCGACCAAACTTCGAGGGGTGGGTGTGGAATTTTCCACGAAACTTGCGTGTTGTGGTGTCGTGCTATTTAGAAATTTACATGCTTCTGTGGTCCACGTTCCAGAAATTCGTATGAGTTGCTGGTCTCCTAGTGCATATAAAATCATCATCTGGTCGGTTTCAAGCGACATCCGACATCCGGGATTTGTTTTTCTGGTTTTCGAAAACTAAAGAGCATTGTGGCTTTCGGTCATCACATCCGGCAAAATGCTTTTCGGTTCGCAACCGCCTTGTGATGTAGTCTAGGCAGTGGGTAGTGGGTATAGTCCTAGCACTAGTAGTAGTAGTAGTAGTCGTCGTCGTAGTAGTAGTAGTAGTGGTGGTAGG